TAGCACATCAATAATAAATGTATGAATAATGCAATATACCTGTCTTTCACATTAACCATTCTCTGTGTTTACCAGAAGGATGGAGTTTGTTTGGCACAATTTGCAGCCAAATTGTGAGATGTGGGATGACTAAAAAAAAATTCATGAAAGTACAATTAATCTAATATGTATCTGCATCAGTATCACTAGTTTGCAGAAGCAAACTTGTGAATATGAATTGTGAAACTATTAATGGACATTTTTAAAAATGAATTTGGGGAATAGTGCTTGTATTTGTTAGATTAAAGAGTCTAACTGTAACTGTTTCTGCGACCGCTGCGCGGTGTGCAGGTGAGAAAAATCTCTCCCCGATTTCCATGCCAAAGATGATTTCAATATCAAGCGGTTGGTAGAAAACCAAATAATGTAGTCAATCACTGCTGCTTGTGCAATACACTGATGAACTGATTATTATTAGTTGTGCAAGGTCTGTTTCTAAAGTGATTTCTATTGCATGAGCCAATGAAATTACGTTGCTGAATGAGATTGGCCCAAAAACTCTCTTGAGATGGTTGATATTAGGCATTGAAGGGTTATGAGCAGAGTCTAGTTGTAATCTAAGATTACTATTTAGACAGATTGCTTGTACTGTATGTCGTAGTATAGTAACATCATGTAATAGTCTTATAATAACAGTACAAATATTTAAAAAATAGATGACTAATCACCCTGTTAAATGTGAATCACCGTTTGATCAATTGAAAAGCTTGCTGCCGATTACTTCAAAGCCGTGGTGTCCGTGGGCTATTTTCAGACCTGAACAGATGGTAAGAAAGTATTGGATTTAGGAATAATTTATCAAAGATAAGACCAAAAGGTCACACAGACATGCGGATCCATGCTTGCTTTGTTCACCAAACAAAAAGACTCCCAGACTATTGAAGAAAATGTCAAGGAAGCTGCCACCGAAAGACAGTTTAGTACAACCCCAGGTTTCATCTGGCACTTGACACAAGAGGTTGAAAAAGATTGTCCAAAGTGACGCATGAGTCATGATGTCCCGCCGAGCTTAAATGTGACACGCCACCACACATCACCTTTTCAATTTTTGCCCTTTTAAAAGGCAGAGCTTCAGAAACAAAAGACAGAGTTTCTGAGTGAGAAGTGTAAATCATTTTTTTTGACACACACCTTAAGGTTCTGTGTGTGTCAGGCACCATCTGCTGGTGTTGGAATGATTAGGAACTAATTTGTTTTGGGGCATCTGACCGAGCACGCTATGCATTAAGATAATTTAAAAAACATTTGGGTCTTTCTTTAAACTTGTATTATTATTATTATTATTATGCCTCATTGCTTGCCCTTTCTTTTAACATTGGTCTGTCATATTTTTGGTCCAGTTTGTTCACGGGAAAATAGAAAGCATCCCCACCCCCCTGGGGCCCTCGAAGTAGTCTTTAAGCAATTTGGCATGGTAATTTTAGAAAGCTCTGGTGGAGCCACAATTAGGAAACATCCTGTCAAATGACAGTCGTTGTGTAGTTGTATGACACGCACAAGAGCATTTATCCAATCGTACAGTATGTTGTTGCTTTACGAGGGGGCTGGGGGGGGAGGGGGGGGTCTTGTATTCTCTCACAATGCAGCCTAATTGTAGCTGAAGCACTTTCACACCTCTTTGGGGAAATATTGTATTTCTGTGTGTGTGTGTGTGTGTGTGAAGCTCCCCAGGGGATCAGAAAGAGGAATGTTCACCGTTGTTCCTGAGTTTTAACTTCCGGCTGTTCATCATGAATCAAAAGACCAAGACTAACAGGCTGTTTTTCTGATAAAAAGGAATTATGCTGCATTTCCATTCAGCAGTGGTTTTGCAGCATTTTATGTGTTAATTTGGTCGGCTTTCAACAGCCTAGCAGTCGCTTCAACAACTTGTGTATTTGCATGTGGATGTATTCTAAATATAAAAATGAATTTCTGAGGGGCTATTTAAATGTAACTGAGCTGTAAAAGCACAGAATAAAGAGAGAGCCCTCAAAATATGGGTGACAGAAAATATAATCAGTGTTAAAATGAAATATTCTGTAAAGACAACAGCAAACAAGTTCTTCTCACTGCAAAAAAGAGAACTAGCCCCACATACCCATTTAGTGTCACCTATATTAGATATAAGGCACTATTCATGTACAGTTGATAATTCTGTAAACATAACTTTCAAAGCATATAACTTTAACCTGGATCATAATCAGATGGTTAATGTGATGGTTTTAATACGTAATTGGCTGATGCATCCCTTCTGTGATTGGTTGCTGGTCTCCGGATTGTTGACGTATTTGACATGCCGGGGAATGGGTTTGAGGAGCGAGAGAATGTAGGCCAGTCCGATACATTAAAAAAGACTCAATAGTATTAAATGATTTCGAAACAAAAAACAAAAAACAAAAAAAAAAGCCGCAGAACCACATGTCTGCCACACACAAACAGAAACAGAAACACGCTAGAAACACACAACAAGCTGCACCGGTTACTTTGGGCTATAGCCTTATGCAATAATACCGAGACATACAAATATTCCACTGTGTGTAAAGAGGAGTTCACATCTGTCAGTGATTTGGAGACCATTTTGAGATTTCAGTGCTTCTGGTTTTGCTAAAAATGGAAACAATTTATATTTTCTATTAGTTTAATCACGTGTCAACAGAAGCACATGCAAAGGTAAGAAGCTCTCTTGTAACTCTCCTATTTTCTTCTGTTTATTCTGGTCCAAACAATTTTACTTCCCTGAGGACCCTTTCCCAAATTTAAATAATTCTCCTTTAGTCAGCCTAGCTGTAGGATTCGTGTTTTAATGCTTCACGATTAGGCGTTTGTTTATGCTTGACATTATAATGTTTTTTAAAGCATCAAACATATTTAGTAGTATCAACATATGCAAGACACCATCAATGATCATTAACTGACATTAAGACATGTCGAACTACATCATAAAAACTCAACCTTACCCGAGAAGTTTACCTTTTTCCCAAACTACTGCCCTAACAAAAAAGAAAGTTAAATATTTAGAAAAACATGCACGACATAGTAAACTGCATAATTTTCTGCTCTTTTTAGCAATTTGTTAAACTGAAAGTACATCTATTTAAAACGATTTGGTTTCGCGTCAATCACAGAAACGCGTCGTTCTGGGTGATGTCTTTTCTAATAAGTTAGGTTTCAATTTCACAGATTGAATCAAATTTGGGTGCTAGAACCCTGTGTACAAAACCACATTTGTGTTGTTTTGTAATTTCATTAAAAAAAGCACAGGCTGCCGCATGGTGTCGTTTTCCTGTTAAATACATGTAATCTCACTATGGAGCATCGTGCTGAATTTAAATGTCACTATTGACTACACGCTGCATCAATTGAATCATCTTTCTACCTCTTTTACAATATAAGACATTCTGAACATAAATATACCGGTAAAGAACTGCACTGATGTCATGCGGCGGTTACTTTTGATAAAGCCACGCTGACTGTCAGCGGTGTAGCTTAGCGACCACTAGCTGTTAGCCCTGTTAGCCCTGTTAGCTGCGAACCGCTGGCTCAGGCGGCGCCATGTTGAGAGCCTTGTAGAGACAACCAAAATGCTCCTGTGTTTATGCACCTTTTTAACTACTCAGCTTGTACTGTGAATGAGGCTGATAGCCTACTCCACTTTGGGACATCTACCACCTTCATGTAAATTTTTGATATAAACTAAAGTAGTTAATGTGGAGATAAATATCAAAACAGTACAGCTCACACTTTAAAGCGTCGAGGAGATGTAATTCAACAAAGCTGTGTCAAGCGTTGACAAGCGGGCAACTCTGATAATGCTGTTTTCTTTCCAACTAGACGTGGCAGATAAGAGACACGAAGATTTAGAATCCATATGGATGAGCACTGTGTCTGCCAGTAAGTGTCATTTTTATTGACAGAAGCAATTTGGCTACTGGCTGTTATGACCAGGGTGGAGCTTTCCAAAGACCCTTACCGCTGTCTTACAGCAGCAGATGTTTACTGGATAGTAATAATACCATAATTCTGTACAACAATCTCTTTAAAGGGTTATTTGGAAACTGGCAATAAACGCACTCAAATTGAGTAAATGTGTTGTGAAGTTTTGAGAGGCCAAATACATACAGTAGCCATACCCAATCAGAAAACAAAGGCCATTCAAATAAATCATAATAATGGCAAATACATGTCTCTGACACGCTGTGAGACCACACAGGTTTATCGCGGGAGCTGATGATGAACCACTCTTCTTTGTGGGTTTTTTCACCGCTGTTTCTCTTTTCTTTTTTTAAATTGTCAAGGCTGCTGAGCGAAGGTTGTTAGGATACAGCACAGGTTGTACAGAAAACACAGCAGTCAGTCACCTGCGCCACGTCCCCGGAGAAGCCAGCTAATCACACACTGGAAGGAACGGACAGATCTGAAATCAGCGCTCCGTGGGTTGGAAGGGACACTCTGCCACATGGCGAGGTTTGAAACATGAAGTCATGGCTCACTTCTCAGCACTTTTCCGGGCCTGAATTGCGGCAAAGCGCAAATGTGTTTGCCTTCGGTTGTTTTACACCAAAGGGCAAAGCGGGATCAATACTGTCAACAACCGAGCTGCTATAGAAATAAATCAGCCATAATACAGATGTGTGAATGCGTACACGCATACAGGCTCAAATTCATTCAAATAAATGGACTCAAAGTGTTAATTTGGGAATGGAAAAAAAGAAACGCACTTGGGTGAAGAGGAATATTCTGGCTACAGCAAATTTACCGTAAGTTTATATTTTGATAATGACAATACATCACTTTTTATCACACTTTGTATCATGACTCAAGCCGGCTGGCTGGACATTACTTTACATTTATGGCAATTTCTGCAATGTTTAGACTGATCGAAGATATGGTTTACAATCTTTTCACGACATCTTTTCTTTTTTTAAATCAAGTTTTGTACATCACACTCACACACAAAAAAAGAAGAAAAAAAGCCTTACCTTCACGCCATAAGTTTGACTGAATCTTTGTTTTTACAGGTACCCGCTGTTCAATTCAACAGAATCCACGTTTAGCTCCAACGGTGTATGTCGCTTTGCACATTGTTTACTCTTTATAACTGAACCGAGTTGGCGCAGCGGCTCGGGGGCGAGGCATCGGAACAGAATGTCACGCGAGCCAACATAATACACAGAAATAAAAGAGAAATAAATCTGCTTCCAATCCTTAAATCTTTCCCGAGCTTAAATGATCTTTCTTTTCCGTTTCGCCCGCCTGAAGAGAGAGAGGCGGAGGTTGAAACTGTACGGTGTCCGTCGGGTGTCCGGGAGCTTTTACGCACGGAGTTACCTTCGGTAGTGGCGGAGGCACGAGACGCGGCGACCGAGAAGAACTGAGGAAAATCTAGGCGGGGTTACATTCTGTTTTAACCCTGACAGGGACGCCTTATTTCCTCAGGGGGGAGAGGGAGAGGTACCTTCTATCCATGTGTTTGCCTCGCGTTTCCTGTGTAATGTAATCTCCACTTTGCTCCGCGAGCTCTACTTTTTATTTTTACAAATGTACGTTCAAAAACAAAGGACACGGATGTGGATGTAAATTATACCATCCCGTGATGGCGAGGTGGGATAAATTTAATTTAGAACTAGTTTGCCAATAATTGAGTGCACAGTCATGTAGCAGCTGAGTGCAATAGTGCATCACATGGATATCGGTGATGGTGTCGGAAGTAAAAAATAGATAAATATATATATACATATATATTTAGAAAAGTGTGGTGAACACTGCATTCTGACCCACGTAGTGACCTGTAATTAATACATTTCTCCTTGTCTCTCTCAATCTTAGAAAGAAATAAAACCAACCTTGTTTTGTGCTCACCTTTTGAGTCTGCCTGCGTGTCGTCATTGGTAATTGTGATCCTGGAGACACACAAGGCACCACCACCACATGGGATCTCCTTGAGTACTCTGCCAGTATGTCTACTTGTCTTGGGACAGTTTTTGTTAATGTGACAACAGTACTTAGTTAATGAAGATTCAGTTTGAATATGGATGTGATACGACCAAGGGTGCAGGAAGTATAATGGTTGGGAGGAGGGAAGCCGCCTCACCCATCACTTTACACTCTGGCAACTCTTTGCAAGATAGTGATTAACAAGTAACAGCTCTGGTAACATTTTTACTTTATATGTCTTGGTTTGAGTCATCGGGTATGAAGAGGAGGGCCTGGTTCTAAAAGTAGAGGGGTCACAAATGGGATCATAACTCACTAACTGACACCTCCCAGCTCGGCTGGATTTCTATTCATGTTCACTAATAGCACTAATAGGATACATTTGAAAGAATAGAAAACCAGGAGTATTTTTCACCCTGAGGACAATGATTGAGGATTAAAGGTAAATCAGCCTCTATGCAAATTAATACAAGACAATCGAGGAGAAGACAGTTTGATTTGTAACTTCATTTACATCACAACCCACTCTTGACCGTGTTACTCTAATATGTGTGGTCTCAGTCTAACTGAAATTGTTCTCCAATACACCCCAGGGGTCTCAATTCTAAAACAGTGGACAGGAGCCACACTAAAGGTCTGCTTATGTTCAAAGGGGGAAATGCACGTCATTCATAAAACCTTGTGTTTGCCTACCGTGCCACATTCTTCGTTTGTAAATCCTAAATGAACGTGTTAATGAGAGCTGAAACGGCACTACGTGACACCTGCAGCGTTCTGCATTCCTCTGCTGGTCGACGTGGACTTAAAGCTAATATTGGTCACCAGACGGTCTGTTTTCCAAGTTCTGAACATTTTGTGTGCCGCCTTGTTTTATGCGCATGCAATGGTTCTAAATGAGAACCCGAGTGTTTGTAAGCAGAACATACAATAGCATTTTTTTCTTTTGTATAAAGTATGTCAGAAATAGCACTAGAGCATTTTCGAGTGCCACTCAAATACCTCTCAGGTTGAAGCTTTGTGTTTTCAGCCAGTGACAGCCTGTTTGTCAGTTGTATCTGCATTGCGTAAAGCTGTGCGGTTTCAGTGAAGATAATTATTTTTGAGCTAAAATTTATCTTGTAACCAGAAAAGTGTAAGTATTAATTTTCAAGGAATTTATGGATGGGTTTACATTATTGATTCCTGCCAGTCTGATTCACATGTGTTAAACTGTCCAGCTTGCTCTACTATTTACACAGGTGAGACTTAAATGAGGATGTGCAATACAGCACAACCGAGCTAACGGACAACACAATGTAATCAATCAGACACCTTGTTCTGAAAAACCAGACAACAAAAATTGCGTCCTCACTGAGCCGCCCATTGAGATTAGAGGGCCATCACTTTAACCTTTAAACTGTATTCAGTTTAATGCAGACATGGAAATGAAATGCGATAGTGATCAAAGACCACAGGCACTTTAAGAAAAACATGGTTGGTATTCAACAAAGTAGATACATTTTTTGAGTATTTTATATTTACATGTTGTATTTGCTTCCACACAACACAGCTCGGGGGTTACACTTTGTGATTCACATGTATCTGATGACTGTTGCTGATCACTCTGTAAAGAATAATGTAACATTTAATATGAAATGTGGAAAAAAAGACTAAAAACGTGATTTATAATGTATTTAATGTCCCCTTTAAGGTTCAGTATTAAAACACCGTTCAAACAATTATTTCAGAATAAATTATTTCACATGATTAGATTGTAATGCTAATACTTGCCTGCACTCCAATTCTAATGGAGAATTCAGGCCTGTCTATTTGGAATGACTATTAATATGATGTTGAGATATTGCTAAAAAGTAAAAGGATTTGAAATGGTTTCCTTTCACAGATAACTGGGTCCACTGTCTGTGCATTACTCAGGAAAATTACAAAAAATGATAAATTAGAACTTTTTTTATGGCAAGCTTTAATACCAACTGGATTAAGTTAAGGATCCTGTTCATTATTTTTCATTAATTTACACTTAGTAATCATTCAGAGAGAAACCACCGCACCTCACTGCACACTAACCCCCCACCATCCAACACAACTGTCAGATTCACGTTGTTGTGAGTGTTGGTCTTTTCCGACAATCACTCTCAAGCCAATAGTGTCATCTTAACTCATTTCAAAATGTTCTTTGATGTAAAATTTGTTACAAGTCTGGGGATGTTGTCCAAGGCCCCCGAGCGGAATTTTTTTTATGTGTGAGGCAAAAGTAATCAAAGCATCACAGCACAAAGGATCGTAGATGCATTTCAACATCCAAATATCTCACAATACATCAAATGTCACTGGTTAGTGAAACGTCCTGTGCAATTTTCCTCGGTGGCGAGCTGACCTCTCTGGTAATGTCTTCTCACATTTGTGTGCTCCTGTTGCTCCTGTTATTGAGCACACAGCCTAAACGTACATACTCAGATAAATCCACCCAAAAAGCACACACAGACATGTGCAGTCCAAAGGCATGTCGTGGGAGGCACGAGCACATCCAACTGAAGTCTGCCGTAAGGCAACAAAGCAGCCTGGTGCTCTCTGATATGGCCTCGAGTTGAGGGGTGTATTTTGGCAGCATGCTGAATAAATCACAGACACCTAGATGATGGCACCCGGATTGTATTATTTCACACGCCGGCTTCAACCTTGTTTCAAACTATTGAAACAGCCAGGAGATCCTCAATATTTGATCTAAAGGTAAGTTCAGTTCAGGGATTGTAATTCCTTATCGCCTCATGTTGAGCCGGACTTGGAAAGACAGATTCTAGGTTCTATAAACGTACAAAAGTCTGGCCGAAGCAGAAGGCCACCACCAGTGAGCGCAAGTGAGCAGGAGAGGAAGCACAGGCCTGGAAAGAAGGAGGACACTATACTGAGGGGCTCTCACTCCCTCTTTCACGCACATGAACACATACAGAACACACGTGTACTCCTTCTAATCCTGAGAGTGAATCATATTTATGCACCGCGTGTCATCGCTGCAAAGTTCACCTCCTCCTATAAAGAATTTACGATGTTACCTCACGTTAGCAGCAAATAAGCATTTGTGACACGCTATGCTTGAGACTGAGGCTCGTTCCCTGTTTGCTACTCACTGTATGAGCTGAAACGCTGTGTTTAATTAGACAAGCACACACATTTTTTTTGGATTGGCGAAGAAAGATAGTTGACTCTTTAAGTAAACACACTTCGTGAAGTCTAACAATGTAAAATAAACGTGTTATCATTGCATTTTTAACGAGAAATCAATGTTAAATTGTAAGACTACAATACTAACCCCTAACCCCCTCAAAAAATCCAACATGGCAGAGAGACGTTCACTCAAGGGGCGTGGTTAACCACCGCCAGTTAGTATGTATTGTTACGAATTTCTATGTCAAATATTTCGTATACATTTTTACAAACAGGTTTTGGAGATCACGTTGGAATGAACAGCATGTGCTTAACAACCTTTTCTCAAAAAAACAAAACTTATATAATAAGTTATATAATATTCAGACAAAACACAAGGGGAATTGGGGGAATTAATTACGATTTGAACTAAACAGCATCATCGACACACAGGTCTTGGTGGCAGAGAAAAAGAACAATATTTGCCCCTTCTATTTTTAAGAACCCTGATCACGGGCAGATTCAGGGTCAAGTCAAGTTGACTCGGGACAGGACAGAGGAGCCTGTGGCTCCGGGCAGAGGTCATCAGAGGTAAAGCAGACATCTGCTCATCGGTTGTGTATCTTGGCATCTTTTAAAGTAAAGTAAGGCGATAAATTGGCTGCAGACGTTTAGTTCACACCCGCAGGTGTTAATGTCTTCTGAGTAAAACGCCAAGAAAATGGCACCATTAGAGTGCAAAAGAGAAAGTTATTATGGTGGATCTAGAAATTTGAGATGATTTAGGTTAACCTCCGACGGCCCCACAGATTGACCGGAGAACAGCTTAATTTTTTCTTCCTGCAGCACGTTTTTAGTTCCTGTCTCAGTACATAATGGGGGGGGGGGGGGGGTATGCTAACACAAGAAAGCAGAGGAATTATTCATTTTTCTGTTGTGTGCAATGTGCGGTTGAGGTTCTGCAGAGCTTTACAGATTTCATGGCAGCTCTCCATCTAGTTGCAGTGTCGCATTTCATCAGATTCTACAGAAAGAGGTAATTTGTGGTAAGTAGGTAGTGAAAGATGTCCTGAATGAATAATTCATGGTGGGTATTTGAAAAAGTTTTTCATTTCCATTGCTTTGTGATGCAGGCACAGCTTCCTTGTCCATGAAGGGAATCTGATGCTCGTTGTGGCTTTGTCAGAATAGGGAAACAGAGGCGAGTTAAGGCAGAAAGAACAGAACAGTATCGTGGTATTGTCAGGCCCAAGGTCACTTGTTGCTGGAGATTCTAAGCCCAGCAGCAGGTGGACAGTATGATAGGGCATGGTG